CTGATGTACTACTGCCCTGAGGACCCCATCGACTACCTGGAGCAGTGCTTGCAGAAGGTCCGGGAGCTGGGTGGTCCTGAGAAGGTGCAATGGGACACTTTCATTGGCCAGGAGCGACGGCTCTTACCCCCCATCGATGGCAGGCAGGGGAAGAAGCCCATTTTCTGGACTGGTGAGCTGCTTCTTGGGCTGGATCTGTTCAGGGTGGGGGGCCATAGAGTCCTCACCTCAGGGGCAGGACTGCTGGTGGGCTAACGTTCTCGGGTGCCTGAGGTCGTGTGAGCAGCACAAAGACAATGCAGATGCAAATGCCCACAGAGCCAAGTCCACATGTGTGAGCACGTTGCCCACGTGTTGGCACAGACCTGTGTTCCTCTGCACAGGCCCAGACACTGACCAGCTGCCCTCCTGCTTGCACACCTGGCTTAGCTGGCCCATACGCGTTTCACACCTGTATCCCTCTGCGCCAGTCAGGTCAGCTCCTCAGTGTCTCGCCAGCCACGTTGCACACCTGGCTTAGCTGGCCCATACGTGTTTCACACCTGTATCCCTCTGTGCCAGTCAGGAAAGCTCCTCAGTGTCTCGCCAGCCAGGTGAGTATGCCATGTGCAGTCCAATGCAACTCATGCTCACCCTGGTTTCTCCTGCAGACCCCCTTGCAGGGCCATACGGCCGGTACGGGTGCCTGCCGCCCATCCAGAGCCAGTTCTCCATCGAGAGCGACTCCGACATGACAGAGTCCACTGGCCTGATCCAGGAGTATGATGTGTTCAACCCCAGCAGACCCCGTCCCAAAATCGTCTTTGTGATCGGTGAGAAACGTGCTCTTCCCTGCAGTGGTGGGAGGCGCTGCACTGCTTGGGAACCCCTCTGTGGAGGGAGGAGGAGGGGAGAAGAGAGGCAGAGGAGACAGAGATGGGAGAGGAAGAAAAATCCTGTGATCCCCAGTGGGTTTCCCCAAGGGCAGCTGCCTTCTCCCCCATTTCCCTACCATTCCTGATGAGTGTGGAGGACGTTTTCGGCCGTTGTCTCATTTGCATAGGTTGTAGTTAATGTTTGGGGCAAATGGCCTCCTTCCTATGCCTGAAGCCTGCTTCTCCCTGAACGTGCACCAGTGAAACCCCACTGGCTTCCGCCTGATTCACACCAGCCCTAGTATTCGGTGCCAGGAACTCAGCTGCCTTCAGAGGCTCCTTAAACTCAGTGAAGACACCTGAAGCTGGCTAATCCCATGCAGGGGAATCGACCCTGGCACCTCTGTAGGTGCTGGTTGTTAGCTGCTGAGTGAACCCACGTGCGGCAGACAACAGACACAGGTATGCGATCAATCCCATGAGTTTCCAAGGACCCAGGCGTAGAAGCCATGTTCTCAGGCTCTGAGGACACAGCAATTACCCCTTGAGTGTCTTCCCTGCTGCTACTGCACACACGAGAAAGGAGCAGGGCAAAGCGCGAGCCTTTGGGGGGCTTAGGCATGTCTACAACACCTCTTGGGTCCTCTCTCGCCTGGCAGGAGGCCCTGGCAGTGGGAAGGGCACACAGAGCACCAAGATCGCCTCCCACTTTGGCTTCGTCTGCGTCTCCGTGGGGGAAATCCTGCGCAAGCAGATGATCCATCGTGCCACCAGTGACAGGAAGTGGGAGCTGATCGCCAAGATCATCGCCAATGGGGAGCTGGCCCCGCCGGTGAGTCATGGCCAGAGCTTCCTGTCGCCCCTTCAGTGCAGCCCCACGGGGCAGACATCCAGCCTGAAGGACTCCGTGCCTGCTGCATTCACAGTCCTCTTCCTCCTGCCTCTGCCTGGTCCACAGGGCCCTGCTGGTTTGGGGCAGATGTCTCATGGCCCCACAGTCCGCTTGGGGAGGCACCAGGGAAATATTTTCTCTCTGCTGCCCTCCCACTTGGCTGAGTTCATGTTAGTGGCTGCTCCTGGCGCTGGGACACACCACCTCTGTGGTGGGCCAGTCAGGGCACAGCCGGTGATGTCCACAAGATAGCGGCAATATGGAAGCCTGTTTTGGCCACCCAGTGTTTGGCTGTATCCGGGGGAAAGGCCAGTCGCTGTGGCCCAAGCAGTGGGTGATCCACAGGCCACCAGCTGTGCCAGTTTCAGTGCCACCCAGCCAGTCTTCCTGGGTATGTCTACGCTAGCTCGTTCCACGAGGAGTAACGGTAGTTCGAATTAGAGATCCTAATTCGAACTACCTACTCCGTGCCGCGTGTAGCCGCAGGCATGGAGTTCGGACCGAACGGGATTTAAAAATGGCGGTGCCCGGGAACATGCAAATGAAGCCCGGGATATTTAAATCCCGGACTTCATTTGCAACCCCGGTTGCCCTCATTTGCCTACCTAGCTTGAACTAACGAGCTAGTGTAGACATACCCCCTCTCTCTGAGTCAAGAGGGGAGTTAAGACACCAAGCCCAGGTGTCTGCCAAGCCTGCTATTAAGGGGACCATCAGGAACAGACTGAGACGCACCAAACTCACATCCCAGAGGCCACCCAGCAACTACCAGCTGGGAATGACTTTTGGGTCCCTTCCGAGCCAGGCTGGGTTCAGCCAGCGGCCTGTAGGTGAGTGGCTCAGTCTCCATCCCCCATGAGCAGCCCCTTGCGCAGCCTCTTTGCCTTGCAGGAGACCACCATCGAGGAGCTGAAGCAGCAGTTCATTAAGCAGCAGGACGCTGAGGGCTTTGTGGTGGACGGGTTCCCCCGGGAGATTGGCCAGGCCTTCACCTTTGAGGAGCAGGTGGGGTGTGGCTGTGGATAAACAAAGACTTTTCTGTCCGTTCTGGGCTGCGCCTTTCCCACAGCCTGAGCCTTCACCAGGCACGAGCTCCCCAAAGCTCTCTCTGAAGGCGTGAGCCCCTTGCCTGGCTCCCCAGGCCTCCCCAAAGAGGGTCCCGCACCTGACACTCGACTCCTTAGATGTGCTGCTTTGTCCTTTCCCTGCTCTGCTTATTGCATGTTGGCCGAGCCCCTCCATTTCTCCTCCCCCACCTAGATGTTTGTCCTGCTCCAGTCTGTGCGCTCTGAGGACACAGGACGTGGCCTGGCAGTATCCAGTTGCTCTCAGTGGTCCTTTGTTGGCCAAGAGCAGGGGTGCGACTCAGTTTCCCCTCCTCTGCTAAAACACGGCTTTGGTCCCACCCCCTGCACCGGGTGCAGCCTATGCTTTGGAGCTGCCATGGTAGAGCCCTTCCTCTCTGAGGACATGTCAGGCTTGGCAGAGGACAGCAAGAGCCCTGCCAGCAACAGAGGGAGGAATCACGTCTGTGCTCAGGGTCCCAGATATGATCAGGATCGACTCCAGAGCCGTCTCATCCATAGGACGGTTTGGGGCAACCACCCTGGGACCCGAATTTCCACATGCCCCTAAAGTACAGGGCCAAGGCTGGTCCAGGGGATTAGTGTGGGCCTGGCACCAGCAGCAGGGTCAGGCCTGCCCTGCACTCACTGGTGGCAGTGGGAAGGGAAATGACCCAGGAGCGTTGATCAGAGGAAGGGATTTGGGGGAAGGGTGGAGTGGGGCCAGGGTGGGGCAGAGCAGGGGCAGAAAGAAGAGGGGTAGGGGCAGGGGCAGGAGCAGGGCCTGGGGTGGAGCAGGGGGGGTGGTTTTGTCCCAGGCCCTGCACCCTTCTAGAAACAGCCCTGATCTTTAGCCCTGAGGATCCTGGGAATGCCTGGACCCCCCCAGGCCCTGAGAGACAGGCCCACACTGATTTCAGGATGCCCAGGGCTCTTCAGCCCCTTTGTGGAATGGCAGGACTCACTGGAGACCTGCAGCCCCTCTGTGGAACAGGGCAGGTGTTGATGTGGAGGGACTAGGAGCCATTAGAGCCTGTTGCTGAGGGGGTCTCAGCTCCCAAGGAGCCCTGAAATGCTCAGAGCCCCTGTTGGGCCTATCAGCGACTCCCCAGAGCCGCTGCAGGAAAGGGCCTGTCACTGCATTGCTGTCGGGTGCGTGTCTCTCTCACTGGCAGATCGGCCCCCCAGACCTGGTGCTTTTCTTGGCCTGTTCAAACCAACGTCTCCGGCAGCGTCTGGAGAAACGGGCCCTGGAGCAGGGTCGGCTGGATGATAATGCCCACGCCATTGACCGGAGGGTGGAGACCTTCAAGCAAAACATCCTGCTGATTGTGAAGTATTACCAGGAAAAGGGCGTCATCATCCGGGTAAGACTTGGTCGGGGCAGCTGGCGGCTGGCTTGGGACACTGCCTTTCCCACTGGCGCTGCTCTGGTTCGCAAGCCCAGGCAACAGCATTTGCATCTCAACCTGGTTACTGGCTTGATTTAGGGTCCTGGCAAGTCTTGGGTCAGGTCCCTGGTACCGAGCACTGAGCATAAGCGGGGGGCAGGCTCATAGGTGACTCGGACCAGGTCCCCTGGCACTAACCTGCATGTTTTGTGCATGGTGGCCCTGAGGTGGACGTGGGTGGGATTCACTGGGGTGGAGTGCTGACCCCCAGAGTGGAGTGGGGATTTGGGGTCGCTCTTTTCCTGACAAGTGCAGTCCCAGTCTCCCTCTCCCCCATATCCCCTCCCAGCCCCCAGAGCCCGACTGAGGGCTGCCTGTCTTTCCGCTCTCAGTTTGACGCAGACAGAGAGGAGGAGGATGTATTTGTTGACATCAGCTCTATGATTCAGGAGCGGCTCTTCCCACGTGGCATCCCTACAGCAGGTGAGAGTGGAGCCATGACAGACCAAGGGAGCTGTGCTGCCCTGGGAAGACAGACCCCTGGGTACTGTGGCTTCACTTCCAGTTGGGACCCCCGGCTCCCTCTGCACAGGGCTAGCCCCTTAGAGCCGGCATTCAGAGTCCACTTATTCAGGGGGCTCCTGTCCCCTCCTGCCTCTGCTGGAGCCTTGGCACAGCTAGTGCGGTAGGTGATGGACGTGTTCAGGCAGCGACACACCCCGCAGCCTCTGTTCACCTCGCGGGAGTCCCTGCAAATTGGAGACAGCTCCGGCCCTTGAACTGCGGGAGCCTCCCAAAGCCTCGCCCTGGGCCACCTGCCTCCCAGCCTCACCAGTGCTCTGCTGTCCCGCTCACATTGCTGACTTGCTGGTTCACCCCGTGGTACCCTGAGAGAGGTGGATGGGAGACTTGGCCTCTGACTCCTGCACAGCCCAGGGAGCAGCACTGACTCAGGGCATGCAGGCCACAGGGAATCAGCACTTCCTAATGGTTAGAGCAAGGCCTGACTCTGTTCCAGGCCCTGCCATCGACTTTGCATGACATCAGGCAGTTCTCTTTGCCTCCCAGCAACACAATACGGACCCAGCCCCGCCCAACCCCGAGGCACGGAGAGGAGGATTTAATGATGGGGGGGATTTAAAAGGCATAAAGGGGCCTTGGGCACCCAGTGCCCACTGAAAATCAGTGACACATGGGCCCCTCAGTCGCCCGTCCTTGGCATTTGTCAAGTGCTTTGAGATCCCCAGGGGAGCAGGGTGCAGCAGCTCTTTTGGGCCCCCGTGTGCAGTGCAAGGGAAGAGAAGGGCGTGTCTGCCTGCCTGTGGGAGCAACAGTGGCTGGCAGATACGATCTGCCCTCAGATGCTGCACCGTCCATCGTGACTGGGCGGTACTGGGTCACCATGGCGACACCCCCATCTTCATGCAGGCTTTGTCCTGGGGGGCATGTCCCCACGCAGGCAGTGGCCCTGCTGATTGCCCTTTGCTTTCGGGGCATCTCCACAGGGAGCCGGAAGGGGAGCATGTTTCCAGGGGCAGCTGACTTGCCAATGGGGAAGAATTGCCTAACGCAGCAGATGCTTTTAACCCTTTCCAAGAGGCGCCTCATCCTGTGAGAAACAGGAGCCCGAATACCCCTCCCCCAGGGGCCGGCAGCACGAGACTCATTCAGAGCTCCTGGCTTCCCCTCAGTGACTGGCAGGGACAAACCAACCAGGGTGAGCCCATCTCTGCGTCACAGCTACTGCGCCAGGCCACGCAGAACCCAGAGAGGACTGAGGGATTTCTGCATGGGGCTGGCACGCAGGGCACTGCGCCCACACAAGTGCCAGTGCAGGGACGGAGGGAAGCAGCCCAGATTGCTGTGATGTGCAGATTGCTGGGGGCCCTGCACCTCACAGCACAGGCTAGAGCAGCCTCTCCCTTTCTCAGGGACCGACCCAAAGGCCCCACTTCCTATAAGGGAGCCCTGGAGCTACTAGGGCAGCGGTTCCCAGCCTTTTCCAGATGGAGACCCATTTTGACAATTCAGGAAGACTTGGTGACCCAAGGCAAGTCAAAAATGGGGGGAGAGAGAGCAGAGCCACCTGGGGAGACACTTGGCGACCCTTTTGAAATGTAATGACGACCCATATTTGAGTCCCGACCCATAGTTTGGGAAACCCTGTACTAGGGTCCCTGAGAAAGGGAGATCCTACCACCAAGTGCAAAGCACTTTATTACAGGTGTAAGCCGTACTACCTCGCTAGGGAAACTGAGGCACGTAGGCAGCATGCTCACCCAAGGTCACATTGCATGTCAATGGCAGTCAAGAACAGACTTGCAAGCTCTTGACTTCCCAGCTAGTGGCCTGCCCATTGGGCCATGCAGTCTGCAGTACACCGGCTGTGCCCTGGAGCTCTTCTCTCCCCTCCTCCCAGTGCATCTCTGCCTCTTCCTGGACCCTTTGGAAAAGATCCGTCAATATGCCCCCTCCCCAGCAGATCCCTGGCTCCTCACATCTACCCTGCAGGGGCCACCAGCTCCTCTCTGACTTGTCTATCATCCTTCCCACTGCCCTCCACTTGCTGATGCCCCCCCACGCCTGCGCACACACTGCTCTGGCGCTGGACTCATCTGGCTGGGACCCTGATCTCCTCACCCACTCCTCTCAGATCTGCTTCAGGCGCCCATTGGAGCTCTGCGGGGCCCTGTGTATCAGGCCTTTCAATCTCCCACTCACTGTGCAGTGTAGCCTATTGTCAACCAACCGGCCAGATCTCAGCGGTACCCAGGCCCTTACAGGTGGCCTGACCCTGTAACCGAGCAGCACAGCTGGCACAGAGGTCCCCAAGGGGAAGAGGGAATGTGTGTGTAGTGGTGGGACGAGGGGGCGTCTCCTAAGGGACAGGGGGTTAGTTATGGCTCAGATAGGCAGCTGCATTTCTGAGAGACTCCCAACCCGTCCCATTGCCAGCACTTCCCAGGTGTCTGAAGGGCAGTTCAGAGCCCTCCGCTCCCCTGCCTCAGAGCCCGCGTGGTGTTTGATGCGTTTCTCTCTCTGGCTTAGGGTCGCTGCAGTTGGCTCTGTTAGACTCGCCTTGTGGAGAATATCCCCAGGAGGAAGATGAGGAGGGGCAGGTAAGGCCGCAGGGATGCCTAAGGGATAATATAATATAATATAATATAATATAATATAATATATAGAGATATACCATCTCATAGAGCTGGTAGGGACCTTGAGAGGTCATTGAGTCCAGTCCCCTGCCCTCACAGCAGGACCAAGTACCATCCCTGACAGATTTGCCTCAGATCCCTAAATGACCCCCTCAAGGAGTGAACTCGCAACCCTGGGTTTAGAACGTCAATGCTCAAAGCCCTCCCCACAATTCCAAGGGAGATGCCCTTGGAATTTCCAGGACCGGAATTGGAAATTAACCAAACCTCTTCCTGAAGGATCAAAACCAGGAGCTAGGGAGGCTCCCGTGGGCCTGCAGAAACACACAGCAAGTCCACGTTTTGGAGCTGTTGCAGCCAGTGGGCTGAGGTCCAGAACAGCACAGATCAGGGAACAGAGAAGGCAGGGTGGGCAGTGGGGAGCGAGTAGGGCAGGGAGCATAGGGGGGCAAAGAATGGGGCAGGGTGCTGCTGGAGGAAGGGATTCCACAGGAAGAGAAGCAGCACCGCGCGGAGTCGCAGGGGGATGGGCAGAGGACTTGAGTGGGGAGGGGTCTGTGTGCATTAGGGTGTGGGAGCTTTCTGCCAGTGGCTAGCGGATGTGAGATAACACTGGGTGATGGGAAAACTGTGGAGAGAGCAAACAGCTGCAGGCAAGTGGCCAGTGCTCCAAGTGTGTGAGGCCAGGGAGTTCTCTAAGGGGTCATGTTGAGCTGGGTTGCTGAGGGCCACACTTTAAGCCCTGCAGCTCCCTGCTTGGGAGAGACCCCCACACACTTTTTTCACTGTGCGTGCCCAGGGAGGTTAGCCCAGCCCTTGCACGCTCGCAACTGCTGCTGCTGCTGCTCCTACGGCTTCACCCCAGCTGGATCCTGGCTCGCGCACAGGGGAGTGGGCACCCGAGCTGCTTTTTCTCCCCTGCTCATTGCAGCTCCCCTGCGTCACGCTAACCTGGTAGCCCTGGCTGGCTGGCGGGGGGAGTGGGGGAGATGGAGCAGCTCTGTGCTGGGTTCTCTCTGCCTCGCAGGGGTAAATGGTAAAGCAGCAGGCAGGTTCCTTTTCCTGCAGGCAGAGGCAGAGCAGGAAGGATGTCCGCAGGCCATGGACAAGCCTCCCCTCATAAAACTGGTTGGTGTGGGGCAGGGAAGCCTCCCCAAGACAGCAGAGAGCCCCCACCCATCAGGGCCCTAACAAGGGTGGGGCAAGCGGGGCACACACCCCGGGTGCATCATAATCAGGGACACAAAGTCTAATGGCTAAGTCTAGACTGGCATGATTTTCCGGAAATGCTTTTAACGGAAAAGTTTTCCGTTAAAAGCATTTTCGGAAAAGAGCGTCTAGATTGGCACGGACGCTTTTCTGCAAAAGCACTTTTTGCGGAAAAGCGTCCGTGCCAATCTAGACGCGCTTTTGCGCAAAAAAGCCCCGAGCGCGAAAATGGCAATCGGGGCTTTTTTGCGCAAAACCAATCTGAGCTGTCTACACTGGCCCTCTTGCACAAAAGTTTTGCGCAAAAGGACTTTTGCCTGAATGGGAGCAGCATAGTATTTCCGCAAAAACACTGACAATCTTACATGAGATCGTCAGTGCTTTTGCAGAACTTCAAGTGGCCAGTGTAGACAGCTGGCAAGTTTTTCTGGAAAAGCGGCTGATTTTATGGAAAAACTGGCCAGTCTAGACACAGCCAATAAGTAAAAAGAATAAGCTGCAAGGTGAAAAGCGCGGCGCGGGCTAACCCGAGGAGAGGGGGCGTATCATTGATATTTGCCTCAGGCACAAAAATACCTAGTTACGGTGCTGCCACCGGTGTCCCAGAGAGTGTCAGTAAAGCCTGTCCGTCCCTGGCTCCTCCCCCGGGCTATGCTCTCTCCTGCTGTGTGCTGACTGCCAGGCCCTGTGAGTGTCAGGGGCCTAGTTCCCAGCTGTGAATTTCATGCTGCCCAAGCAAGGGGGGACATGTAGGTGGGTGTGGTAGGCAGGAAGCAGAGAGTCTGGCCTGAGCCATCACAGGGTTGTCTGGAGGACAGAGGCACAGGAGGTGCAGGGTCATCTGGCTGGTTTGGCTGAGCAGAGGCGGGAACAAATTCCATGCGTCCCTTGTTTTGGGGCCGCAGGGGGATGTGTGAGCCCTCAGTTGCGCAGCATCCTCTGGAGCCTGGTTTCTAATGGCTCAGCATTGTTTGAAAGCTCAAGTTGGGATTATGCACCTGCTCCTCCTTCGTCTTCCCACCCACCAGGACTGTGCCTGCATGGCTGCCTTCAGTAAAACCGTGATCTCCAGAGGTAAGGGCTGTCTCTTGCCATTTGTCTGTACAACTGGGGCCCAGAGCTGGCACCCAGCCATTCTGAACCCTCAGAGGCAAGGGACTGGATTAATGTACTGGATTAGTACATAAGAACAGTCATACTGGGTCAGACCAAAGGCTCATTTAGTGTCCTGTTCCTGACAGTGGCTAGGGACACCATTCCTACTCATCCTGACTAATAGCAATTGATGGACCTAACCTCCATGAACTTAACTAGTTCTTTTGTGAACCCTGTTATAGTCTTGGCCTTTATGACATCCCCTGCAAGGAGTTCCATGGGTTAACTGTGTGGTGTGAAAAAATACTTTCTTTTGTTTTAAATCTGCTGCCTATTAATTTCATTTGGTGACCCTTAGTTCGTGTGTTATAAGAAGGCATAAATAGCACTCACTTACTTTCTCCACAAGTCATTATTTTATAGACTTCTATCATATCCCCCCTTAGATGTCCTTTTTCCAAGCTGAAAAGTCCCAGTCTTATTAATCTTTCCTTATATGGCAGCTGTTCCATACCCCAAACATTTTTTGCCCTTTTCTGAACCTTTGCCAATTCCAATAATCTTTTTTGAGATGGGGAGACCACTTCAGTATACACAGTATTCAAGAGGTGGGCCTACCATGGATTTATATAGAGGCAACAAACGTACGCCAAGGGTCACGTAATCAGTCCTCCTACAACTAGAGAACTCCCTCACAAAACTGCCCTGTTAGCTGCTCCTGTTTACTAGCCCCTTTCCTTGCTTAGGAGTGGGCTTCTGAATAGCCCAACCCACTGGTTAAGGGTTTGCTAACCACAGGTTAAGGAGCTCTCATCCTTGCCTAGCAGTCACTAGGCTCAGCACATGGTCCCCCATACAAACAGCCCACGCGGTACATTTCAGCCAAGCAGCAAGTACACCACAAACACACACAGTGCAGACAACAAATGGGTGTGGGGCAGGGAAGCCTCCTCCATGACAGCCCCAAGGCAGCAGAGAGACACCCCCACACTTGGGGTCCCAGATCGCAAGCTCCCTCCTGCCCCCCGCAACTCAGTTGTCTCAGTAACTGTTACTCTGGCATTTCGAGGAAGTGCACACACACACACAACAGAATAAACAGTGAATAATCCAGGAGTAAGAACTCGAGCTGCTCAGTGGCCTTGTCTTCTGACAGTCCCTCTTTATGGGACTTAAGCTTCACAACTTCCCTAACTACTATCCCTGGAAGGAAACTGATGCACGGGGCAGGGCAGTGACTTGGCCTAGTGAGGCAGCGGTAGAGCTGGGAATGGAAGCCTGTGTTCTGACTTCCACTTCTGTGCTCTCACCATTCACTCATGCTTCCTTCATGCACCTGGACACAAGAGAAAGGGAGTAAGACAAAGATGCTCCTACACAGCATTTTAACAGCTGCGCCATGGGTACACTGGGGGACTCCCCTCCTGGTTCTGCTGCTTCATGCAGCAGCCAAGTCCTTTGGTGGGGTTGCCCACCCTGGTGCTGCAATGGGATGAGCAATGCCAGGCTTAGCTCCCTGAAAGCATTGGGGGAGGAAGGGGACAGGAAGAGTGACGTTCGCCTTCCATCCGAAGGCGAGGGGCAGGGATAGATGAGTCTGATGGGCCAAGCAGGGAGACCCTACGCAGAGCTACTGGCCGAGCAGAAGGGTTATGTGTTGTGCCCTGCAAAAACGCCCCACTTGGTGCTCTAATGAACTCTCCCCCTTAGCATGGAGAGGCGTGGGCTGCCCAGGATGGTCCTTTCCCCGGGCGGGGGAGGGGAGGCGGGATTTCCAGCCAGTTCCCACATCACAAAAGCTGACCTCCCCGAGCAGCAGGTGCTGGCCCGACTCCTGTCTCTGCACAGAGGCTAAGGGTGAATAGAGCCTGGAGACAGCTCCCCTCGGAGCTTGAGGGCTCCTTTGGCGGGCAGCACGTGGGGGAAACTTGCTCTGCCCCTGCTGCAGCTGAGCTGGGCATCGGTGGAGAACCTCGCCCTCCTCAAGAGCGGTCGGGCCGCCCCGTTTCCAGACCGGCTTGGAAAGGGGGCGAGGAACCAGACCCGAACCTCGAGGCAGCACTTCAGCCTCCTTTGTGTTCAGCCCCCTCCTTGGGTGCGCAAACATGCCTCGCTGGGCCAGCCAGCTGCGGTAGCGCTCAGGACTCGGGAGCCGAGCCTGGCCCCATGCTAGCCAGCTCCGCGGCGCTTTCGCGCTCACTGGGCCCTTTGTCCGCGCCGCCCCAGATCATTGCTATGCAGCTCACATCTCCGGCGTCAGGTGGCTCTCTGCTGGCTCAGCTCAGAGGCTGCAAAATCCCCTCCCAGCATGCCGTGCCCATGACAGCGTTATATGTGCGGTAAAAATAGCCAGGGAGGACATGCAGGGCAGCTGGCTGCACAGAACCGGACCCGGCTGCTCGCTGCCTCCTTGCACGTCTGCGCCCCAGCGCTGAGAGGTGAGTGCCCCAAGCCCGCGGCCGGCGCGAGCGGTTGTGCCGGGGCTCGCTGGGGGAGGGTTGTTTGGACCCTCCTGGCTGCTGCTCCGAATCGTGGTTTGTTTCCCATCTGCTCTCTCCCCCCGGGAGCCAGGCGGGAGAGTCTGGGCTGGTCATTTTGCTGCTCAGGCAGTTTCAGGTCTGGAGTGGCTGCTGGCAGGCTCCCTGCGAAGCGCTTTGCCA